GGGGTGGAGCCTAGGGGGGCAGGGTTTGGGGAGGGACCTTAGCAGGGTATTATGCCATTGAGCAGCCATTTTCTCCAGGGGAACTGATCTTGGTTGGCTGAAGATCAACATAGTAGTGGGAGATTCCCAGGGGCCACTTGGAGGTTGGTAACTCTATAGCCAGGATATGTGTCTGCCCTTTCTCTTTGCCTTCCGTGTAGGTTTTCCATAGGGAATTTTGAAAACAGCCTTCCAATATGGGACACCCCCTCAACACCTGTCATGTTTTACCAGCTCAGCATTCTGCCACCTCATTTTCTTCCATGCGTGAACCAGACACACGCCTTATCACCTCCCTCATGAACATACGAAGCTGCCTTCTACTGAATCAGACCTTTGGGCTCTCTAGCTCAGTACTGTCTACTTCGACCAGCAGCAGCTCTCCAGGGTCTCAAGCAGAGAGGGGGGGGTCTTTCTCAACCCCTTTTTGCATCTGAGATCCTTTAAGGCAGGAACTCATTAGCATAATAGGCCACACCCAACAGCAGACACTCATTAGCATATTAGGCCACACCCTTGACAGCACAGCTCATTAGCATATTAGGCCACACCCCCACCAGTAGTGTGGTCATCCAGCCACACTCATCTTTTGCTTCTTATTCTGTTTACCTTGTTGTCAAAACCCAGAGGGTTTTTTTGTAGCAGGAACTCCTTTGCATGTTAGGCCACACACCCCTAATGTAGCCAATTCTAATGAGATTCTGCTGTTGGGTGTGGTCTATTATGCTAATGAGTTCCTGCTGGGTGTGGCCAACTCAGGAGCCAGCCGGAACTCCGTTCCTGTGCGTTCCTGCCCAAAAATAGCCCTGCTTTAAGTGAAGATGGCGGGGCAGAACTTGAGACCATCTCCGCACTTGGTATCTGCTTTACAGTTGACCCATATAGCCCTTCTCTGCACACACACCCTGGAAATCCAGGAGGCACAGTGCAGTGGCTGGATTTAAGAGATTTCTCTGACTGAAATGCTGCATCCTATAAGAAAACACACACACAATGCTTCCTCTAAGCTGTGGAGTCTTGTGAGCGAAAATTCTACTTTGTGAGCTACTGGCATTAAAGGTGTGAGCGAGGGATTTGGCTGCTGCGTAAATTAGCTTGCTCTGGAGCCATCCTTCCTGCGCTAAGACAAAAATGTGTGAGCCGGAGGCGAAAAAACTGTAAGTTAGCTCACACTAACTCAGCTTAGAGGGAACACTCTCCTCAGGTTTAAGGGCGAGTGCTGCTGTAGCAGTGACAGCTAAGAAATCAAGCTGTGGATCATGAACTCCCCTTTCAAATCTTGCACCTGCTGTGACTTCACAAGTTGGCCCTTAAACAACCCTTCTCAGTCTCCCATCTACAATGTGGGGAAACCATGCTACCTTGTAGGGATATATTGCAGCCCTTGCTAGGATTATTGGCATAATGGCAAGAAAATGCTACCTGGGTGCCTTAATCATACACAGCCGCCCTTATTTAACAGGAATCCTTCATGAACACAAGAAGCTGCCTTATCCCAAGTCAGGCCCTTGGTATATTAAAGTCAGTATTGCCTGCTCTGGCTAGCAGCTGCTCCCCAGACTCTCAGGCAGAGGTCTTTTCACATCGCCTACTATCTGATCCTTTCAACCGGAGATGTCAGGGATTGAAACTGCAACTTTCTGCATGCAGACTAGGTACTCTATCACTGAGTCACAGGCTCTTCCTAGATCGCTTGCTAACTTAACATTGGTTAATACACTTTAATTTTGGCTTCAATCACACTTCATACGATCAAATTTACGTCTCTCGTACTAACTTAAATGTTAAAGATTCTCGTGGTGTTTTTTTTAAAAGGTAATAACTGACTCTGAAAGCAAGTCTAATGCGTCAAATCTGATTTTCCATGTGCATACACGCACACTCCGGTTTTGCTATTCCTTCTTTTTCCCTTCGATAACTTTCCTTCCAACATCTAAATCCATGTAGCATTCACAGGCACAATTCACAAGCAATTTAACAGAGCATCTCCTCTCATTTCTCCTGGATGGCTGCTTTATGCTGGGGGAGGGGAGATCTTTATGGCAGTATCAGGGATGAGAGATTTCTAGAAGCCTGCATCAGATTTCTAAGCCTTACAGAGTTGGTTATGGGCTATCCCGTAAACCCTTTTACAGAGTAAGGGCTGAACAGCGTGTAACACACAGCTGTGCCAACACCACAGCTTGAACAGGAGTCATCCATTGCAGTCTGTGGGAATATCATGGCAAACTGTCCGTCTTCGCAAGATAATGGTGCTGCGACATTCCTTGGGCTGTATCACAGTACCATCAAAGAGTTATTTGGATGGCCCATGTAACTAATTCCATTACACCTTTAAATGTCTGAAATTGCCTTATTTGAGTCAGGCCATTTGGTTCACTGAACCAAATATTGCCTACTGTATTATGGTTTCAGGCAGAGAGATCTCTTATTAATTGGAGATGCCAGGCATGAACCCAGGATCTTATACAACCATGACCTTGAAATGAAGCACGTACTGCTCTTGCAGTGTGATCCTAAAGAAAGTTATATCCTTCTTAGCCCATTAACTTCAAAGGACTTGGCAGGTTGCTTAAGATTACACTGTCCATTGCTGCCAATCATTAGATCTCTCCGCTTGTTTCAAAGCAGGCATTGATCGGAGTCTGTTTCACAATCTGTTGCTTCTGGACCTTCTCGATAGCAGTAGACTTTGCCCAATGAAACAGTGTCCGGTTATGCTTTATGGGGCTGTGATATTCTGTAAGGATGCCCACTAGAACAAGGGACACCTTGCAGCCTTAGACTGCAATCATACGCACAATTAGACCCAACACAGGTGTGAATGCCGGGCGGATTTAAAAGGTGCGATCAGACAACAACATCTGGGAAGCGTCCCACAGCCATCGGCAGCCCGTTCTGCTCTGCCACAGAAGCAGAATTAAAAGACACCGGGGGAAATCCCATGTCTGATCGCTCCAGCCCATTCTCATGCCGTCGGGATGGTCTGATCAGGCTATCCCGACTCTGTGCCATTGTCCCCCCCCCCTTTGCAGTATGCAAATCATCGCAAACTCCATAGGGAGCCCTCAGTGCGGAGGTGTGATTCATTGATTCCTTGTTTAAGCACATGGGGGGGGTGTATAGAAATATTGATTTCTAAAAGTCCATGCCTTCTCCTGTGATTACATTCTGCTAACATGCTGTGTCTTATTTCCTCTTGCAGGCCAAATGGCCGACCATTTGGCCAGAGAAACTTTATAACCATGCGAGGGGCCTCCAAACTCCTAGCCATTCCTGTGTTGCAGCTATGGCAACCAACAATGGACACACCCCATTCCCACTCACAGTTGGCTACTGGCCAGAGCTAATTTGTGACTGGGATTGGACTATATCTGTTCAACCCTTATGGGAGAGAGCTTCTTGCTCGCTCTTGCTTGCTGCTCTCTGTTCCTGCTCTGTGCTTGTTTATTGCACCTGGAAACGCTGTCCTTTGAAGAGACAAAGGACTGGCTTTGTGAATTGGACCACATGGTTGAGCAAAGATGGATTTTGCCTTCAAAATCCCTTGGACTGTTTGGATATTCCTCAACTTGGTAAATACGTATCTTTTACTGTGTTTTAAGGCAAATCGCCTTAAGCTTGTTATTTTGGTAAACTCTGGTAGTCTGTGCTAAGCTCTGTACTAAATAAAGATTCCTGATTGTTAAAATTGTCTTTGATGTTGTACCTGACTTCCAAGGCTAAATCTTGTGGCCTAAATGCTCACCATATATGCTACTATTGGAAAGTAAAAAGTGTGCATCTCTGGGAATGAGTTGCTAAAGTGTTAAACCCTAGATGCCAACTGAGATTTTGAACCTCTAATCTCAGGTTGGGAGGGGGATTATTGTAGAGGTTCTGGTGGCATATTGTTCTGAATCCAGAGAGGGTAGCCTACCTCTGTGGGTTGTTGTTTAATGTACTGAAAAGTACATGATTCCCTCCCATTCCTGGACTGGCGTGGGTGGGCTATCCTGTACAGGGGGGGAACGGCACACACAAAAAAGACTCACCCGCAGTTGCATCTGATTACACACTGACAGACTGGACCACAGCTTCAAAGGGAGGTGTGATCGCGCAACTGCGGGTCAAATTCTTCCGGAGGAAATAGCCTCACCCCCCCCCCATTTTATCTGGCGCATGTGACCGCACCCTTAATGTTCCTATAGATAAATGCCTGAGCTTGTAGCTGCCAGCATGAAAGCTGAACCTCCTCGTCTAAAGAGCATATCTCTGAACACCAGATATTAATGGGAACAAAATGCAGGAGAAACATTTTTATCTGACTGGTTGAAAACTGGATGCTGAATTAGATGGGTTTTGGCCTGATCCAGCTGTGCAATACTTTCCGTGGGGTTTTTTATTGCAAGGTTCTCTGTGATGCTTGAATTGGCAGTTCGCTCTTACACTGGTACCTGGAATCTGGATTAACAGTGTGAAAATTTGAACTCTGGAGGTAAGGGCATTTCTTGCCAGCGCAGTAAAGTGCAAGAACAGTGGCAGCCAAAAGCAGAGATTGCTATAAAGATGAAGTCACTGATGGGTGGGTTATTGCCGCTTCTCCGCCAAGACCAAAGAAATCAGGATTCATGCTAGGAATTGATTTGAGTTAGATGTAATTGGCTTCTGTGCCCGAGGACAAAGGAGGAAGTATTCAGAGAAGAGCAAAAGAGTTATCGTTTCGGGAGCGTAGGATAACATGGAAGGCAAGGCTGGAGAAAACTGAACATTTAGCTTCTTGGAGAGAGGGCACAGGAGCAGTTTTCAAACCAATGCATGGCTGATAACAGGCACACCAGGAAAAGCTCAGTGAGCCTATAGGGCTTGCACACAATCAGCCTCATAAAAGTAGGGAACTTTGTTTGTGGATTTCTGTGGAGCTGCACCGTTTGAGAGGGAGAAGAGAAAGATTGGATTTATACCCCGCCCTTCACTACCAGAAGGAGTTTCAGAACAGCTTACAATCCCTTTCCCTTCCCCTCCCCACAACAGACACCCTGTGACTGTGAAGTAGGTGGGGCTGAGAGAGCTCTTTCAAAAACTGCTCTCTCCAGAACAGCTCTGAGAGAACTTGTGACTGATCCACGGTCATGCCAGCAGCTGCATGTGAAAGCGTGGGGAATCAAACCTGGTTCTCCCAGATTAGAGTCCGCCACTCTTAACCACTACACCAAACCGGCTTTCATATCTGAGATGACATTCCATTATATGCTCAGGGCTGTGATGCTTGGGGGAAAACACCACTTTTTGCATTGAAGGGTGCCCTTTCACAAAAAGCCAACCGTTACCTGGCCCTTTCGCTTTACTCACACACATAGGTGAAGCCGTCTTCCTCCTCCTGAGCTGGGGGTGTGGTTGTCGGTGTCAGATTAGTGGGGTGCGGAAGCGGTTCCTCCAGCTCTTCTAGCTCTTCTTCAAAGATCTCCTTGCCATCCGAGCCCCCCAGCTCTGTCAGGGTCACCTCCTGCAGGGACTCCTCTTCAGTTGCTTCAAGTTCTGACAGCTCCAGGACCTCTTGCAGATGCTAGGCAAAGTACAAAATGAGCCCCATATGAGCCCTGGAAAGCACTGAGGTCTACTAACCAACGTCTTTTGGTGGTCCCCAGCCCCAGGGATGTCTGAATTGCCCCAACTAGGGCCAGGGCCTTTTTGGACCTGGCCCCTACTTGGTGGAATGAGCTCCTGTATGAGATCAAGGCCCTGCGGAATTTATTACAGTTCTGCAGGGCCACCAGGCTTTTGACTGAGGCAGCAGATGTCATCCCCCTCCCCCAGGGATGAACTTCCATCAGTGGCCTGGATCTGAATAGTCATATAGGAACCATCTAAATTGCTGAGGGACTTCTGGTCGACGGAACAGGGACTTCCGGTTGACGGAACAGCGATGGCGGACGCTCTCCTCACAATGGAGGAGGGCAAATTGCACACCAGTGACCTGGAGGGGTGCCACCTCAAGTGACACCCCCGCGGAGCCTTTGCGATAGGCTCCAGGCCAGGGGGCTTTTGAGGGGTAGCCCCTTCGATGGCACAATGCCGGAGAATTGAGGCTCCCCTCCGCCCCGATGGTCCAGTCGCTGAGTAGCCTTTGGGCATAAGCTGGACTGACCGGGACAAGTGCCAGAGATCAAGCAGAATGGCGTAAAACCGAGCGTGGTCAGATAAACTGACCAACAATGAACGTGAGTTCTGAATAAAAACGGAGTAGTTTGAAAAGTGACCCCCCCCCCCCGCAATTGGAAACAGAGATTGCAAAGAGGGACACCTTTTTTGCGAATGAGCGGTTAAGACACAAAGGGGGAGAGGGGAGGAAGTAAACCGAAAGTGTTTTGAGAGACTTATCTGAATTGCGAAGTCGTTTTGCGAGTTTTCCGAGTTGTGGAGAGGTGGCAGAAACTGTAAACAAAACAGGAAAGATGGCGGCCCAGCAGAGAAAGTTTAAAATGAAACTGGGCGGGCAGAGTCTGAGACCGGAAGAGGGAGCAGATGTCCTCAAACTCCTGGCGGATATGCTCAAGCTGGTGATGGAACAACTCGATGGTATTAACCAGCAATTGACTGTGATGAATAAAAACTTTGCGGCACAGCAGCTTCAGCTGAACAAGACGGAGAAAAAAGTGGAGCAGGCAAACGAGAAAATTAAAGAGATTGACACCACAAGTAAGAAGTTGAAGAAAAGGATGGGAGAGGTGGAAATGAAGCAGAATTGCCAAGATAATTGAGTCTTGCAGCTTCAGAGGGAAAAAGCTAACATGATTCTCAGGTTTCAGGGGGTTCCTGAAATGGATCGGGAAGACTTGAAGAGGGTGATCAGTGAGATCATCGCTCCAGTAGTAGGCTTAACAGCGGATGAACTGGTAAACGAAACGGAGACAGCCTATAGGGCTTACTCCACTATATTAAAAAAAATAGCCTACCTGGAGAAATAGTGGTCAAGTTTTCAAGAAGACAAACCAGAGATGCCATTTTAAAAGCAACATCAGCAACTCCACTGAAAATGGGAAATGTAACCATTAAAACTTTAAAGGACATTCCATTTGAAATTAGACAAAAGTGGAAAAATTACAAGGAATTAATTTATTTTCTTCAAACTAATGGAATATCATACAGATGGGCAGTTCCGGAAGGTATCATCTTTAAGATCAACTATAGAAGGGAGAAGATAGACTCCACTTTTAAAGATAAAGAATTTTTGAAACGTCAGCTGGGGACAGATGATGAGTCTAAAGAGGGAGAATCAAAGTTGAGTGACTCTGCTACCTCGGGAATGGAAGAGGATTCTGCAGCAGAAAAGGATGCAGGACCTGCCAGAGTGGTATACGATTTTAGAGACAGAAAGGTGAAGTAAAGGCAGAAGGACTTGGAAAATGGCCTTTTGAAGCAAAGAATAAGAAGATGATCAGAGACTTATCTCATAACAACTAACAAAATAACATACAAGAAGCGAATTGTTATAAGCAAGAACTCAACAAGTATATTGTGATAATAAAACTAATGGTACTAACATATTTACTAACAGTGAAAAGATCTCCTTCTCTTGGGGTTTTAGTCTAGTGTGGTTTGCTTTTTTTTATCCCTAGTTGTAGTCCCTCCCCTATATTTCTTTGTAGTTTGTTGTTGTTGTTGTCGCACAGTCGAGTCCAACTCTTCGCGACCCCATGGACCAGATCATGGCAGGTCTTCCTGTCTTCCGCCGTCTTCTGAAGTTTGCTCAATTTCATGTTCGTTTGTAGTTTGTAGTATATGCAAAATAAAAAATATCCCTACGGGGATTTAAAAAATAAATAAATAAACTGCTGAGACATCTGACTAAATTATACATGGCACTTTATGATTTATGTTTTAAATCGTCATTTTAAATTGTTTTAAAAGTGTATTATATATTGTACTGAGACTGATGGAACCCGCCCTGAGCCTGCTTGCGGGGAGGGCAGGATACAAGACCAATAAAATAAATAGAAATAAATATAATTATACATGGCACTTTATGATTTATGTTTTAAATCGTCATTTTAAATTGTTTTAAAAGTGTATTATATATTGTACTGAGACTGATGGAACCCGCCCTGAGCCTGCTTGCGGGGAGGGCAGGATACAAGACCAATAAAATAAATAGAAATAAATAAAATGGGTTAGAGACAGATGCACCTCTGCAGGCATACTGTAGCATGTCGCCGTGTCTGAGAGCAAAACTAAACAGGACTTAAAAGCAGGGCCGGCATCAAGGATTGGCACAGTGGGACCAGTGCCGAGGCTACAACCTGGCACAGAGCCCGCTGCTGACCAGAGATGCTTCGCCAATATCCACTCCCACTGGGAATGGGAGATCGTCCCAGAGCTCCTTCCGATGTTGCGATGGCATCTAGGGCAATTTCCCATGGAGAGATGCCTGGAGGGAACATGACACATTCATGCTTTTTGTAGCTTTGCATCCCAAAGGGGCAAGGAGGAGCTGGGATCCACTTCCTCCTGGTGGGGGAGAGGAATATGCAGCTCTGGATTAGCCATTAAGCAAAATAAGCAAGTGCTTAGGACACCAAGGGAAGGGAGGCACGCACCGCAGAGGGGCTTTTTGCTGCCATGGCTTACTGCCAATGCTCCCTTTAAAACGGCGGAGTCTTGTGAGCAAAAATTCTACTTTGTGAGCTACTGACATTCAAGTTGTGAGCGAGCAATTTAGCTACTGCATAAATTAGTTTGCTCTGGAGCCAACCTTCCTGAGCTGAGACAAAAATGTGTGAGCCGGAGGCTAAAAGACTGTGAGCTAGCTCACACTAACTCAGTTTAGCGGGAACATTGCTTACTGCTATTCGGTGTTAAAAAAATGTTAAAGTTATATTTAATGTAATTGCGGGGGATGGCCCAGAAGAAAACTAAAATTTTAATCTCTTATTTTACCTTCAGCACTTCTTGAGTCTTAACATCTTGTCAGTCACGCAGTGGAAGGGCCAAAGGGCACCATTGTCTGGGTGTGCTTAGGGCATCAGTGTCAGAACCCACAGCTAACAACGAAGTACACGCATTCAGGAACGGTTATACTTTTATTGCAAAGCTATAGATGCAGTAACACAGGCACTGTTAAGAATGGCGGCAACTAATAGAACCTAATAGGATATAGGGTATTCATATGCACCCCCCCCCCAATGGCATGGGCCAATCAGATACCCTCCTGTGTGCGGGACAAGTTAGGAAACCGTTAGGTGGCTAAAGCTGGGAACCAGGAGTCTCTCATGGTACATAGGAGACTTCCAGACAATACAACCTCCTCCTGCACATCTGTAGAGATAAGCGTTTCAGCAAAGACAGAACAGCAGGGATAGGAATGCAATAGCAATTAACAAGACACAGAATGAACTCCCCAACCCACATGGCAGCATAGCTGACAATCAGTTGGCCTTAACCTGGCCCTGGGAATACACACACCCATGCCCATACATGCATGTACAGTGACGAGGCTTCTTAGTGGTGGAGCTCCACAGCTTTTTTTAGGGTTGCGAGCCTTCAGGTGGGGTCTGGAGATCTCCCAGGATCACAACTGATCTCCAGCTGACAGAGATTAATTCCCCTGGTGAAAATGGCTGCTTTGGAGGGTAGACTGCACGGCAATATATCCTGTTGAGGGTCCTCCCCTACCCAAACCTTGCTTCCAAACTCCGGGCTCCATTCCCAAAATCACCAGGTATTTCCCAACCCGAAGTTAGCAACCCTAGCTCCTCTGGGCTTGAGACTCCCCAGAACCTGGAGGCAATAATGTGCAACTGGCTCTGTCATCTTTGTAACACTCTAGTTAGGGTAGCTGTTTAGGAGGGGTTGCATCAGGATGCCTGCAGGGGCAGACTGGGAACTTGAAATCGCCCAGAGGCAAGGCAGGCGGAGTGACCCCCAGCTACAAGCTGGCGCTGCAGGGCCCCCTCAGTTGGTGTAGAGAGCCAGTTTGGTGGAGTGGTTAGGAGCGTGGACTCTAATCTGGGAGAACCGGGTTTGAGTCCCCACTCCTCCGCATGCAGCTGCTGGTGTGACCTTGGGTCAGTGACAAGTTCTTTCAGAGCTGTTCTCTCACAAGCAGTTTTTGAAAGAGCTCTCTCAGCCAGCATTCCCTCTAAACTGAGTTAGTGTGAGCTAGCTCACAGTTTTTTAGCCTCCAGCTCACAGATTTTTGTCTTAGCTCAGGAAGGGTGGCTCCACAGCAAACTAATTTATGCAGTAGCCAAACCGCTCACTCACAACTTTAATGCCAGTTGCTCACAAAGTAGAATTTTTGCTCACAAGACTCTACAGCTTAGAGGGAACATTGCTCTCAGCCCCACCTACCTCTTTGGTGGGGAGGCGAAGGGAAAGGAGATTGTAAGCCACTCTGAGACTCCTTCAACTAGTGAAGTGTGGGGTATAAATCCAATCTCCTCCTCCTTCTTCTCTTCCTCCTCCTCCTCCTCCTTCAGACCTGGCCACAGCAGCAGTGGCACACCAGAAAATTTCCCTGTAAGTTAAATGGCCAATCGACCCATTCTGCTATGGTCAGGCCTCACC